GTACTACACGTGTCAGACTGGTATGGGAAAGATGCTGACTATTTCATTTTAAGCACATCATTTGAAGCACATTTCAACTATCTTATCTGCTATGATAGCCTCACCTGTCTGGATCATAATATGCGGTTATAATATGATGTCTATTTCGTAAAAGCAACAGCTGGTCACGGTTAATCATACATTGCAACTAGGCCATGCAGTATGTAAATATACCGTTATATGGATAAAACAATAAAACCCCGGCGTCATACCAACACGGAATAGTGTTTTATGAATTTCAAAGATAAGGATTAAAATGTTTGATGGTATGGAAATTTAATTTCGTCCACTGAGATAATATGTAAGTCATATGTGGCACATTAAGACGAATATTTCAGTACGTACGATTAGTCATTGTAACGGGGCCTGTGCGCTTGTACGGGATCTGTACAGCTGTATGTGATCAATTGTAAATTTGCTATCCAATATTCACATATGAAAATTAACGGTGAATTTATGTCACATACCGAAATGCCTTTCAAGTTGAAACCAAAGCAATATTGATTTGAAACACGTCTCGAACAGGTCCCTGTTGTGTGTTTTGTAACATGAAGGGTTCATTTTTTAACAAGAATGGTCATGTTTTTTAGTACCCGTAACTTGGCAACAATTGAATTTTATTTTGAAATATGTATTTTTAGAAGCCTACATCTTCAATGAGATATCAATATGTGTCAATGACAAGATGCAAACAGAATTAAACCCAAATTGGATAATTAATATACTTGGCTTTGATATATACTCGTTCATTTTCTAAAGAATACCGGCATTTTGGCATACATGTATATCAATATTTGTTGTATGAGTCAACGTTTTAGTCGAATTCTAGTTGTAAACAATAGCGACAAAAACCTTTAAATATTCATCAGAAATCTCGGCTAAAACACAACATACATATTTCATACAGGTTTACAGTGAATTGGATAAAAACCTATTATTATGATCTAGTATGAAGTTAAATCATTATCATAATAATAATAATCAATCGGTAATTTAACCTGGCTAAGAAACCACCCACACAAATGATAATTATTCCTCTAATTAACCATATTTCTACATGAAATCATCTATAATTAATGTTTATGAATTCCCATATCGTTCAGTCGTTGTGAATGTCACCATATCTACAGTAAATACCATACATGCAAGACGCGTGTACAACCTACCAACATAAAGGTTGACTATAGAGGGCGGTAATTCACTTCAGATGTAATCCCTTAACCCCCCATTACAACACGTGCGTATGATTATAAAGTTCAAGTGTACATTAAGAATCAATGAATAATGTAAACAACGTACATAATCGTTGTGGTAATAATACATATGTTTGACGTATATAGAAATGCATCTATATAATATGCTCGTTGTAAATCGTTAAAAGTGAGAAGTTATTAATTTCTAGTTTCTTCAGTATATTCTCATCATCGGTGTTACAATACTGAACTATCAGGTAAACAAAGTACCCACCATGTTTGATCGTGATATAAAAACAGAGTGATGTTAATTCAATGGGGGGCTATTTGGTATAGGTATCATATCTAGGTTTTTGGTCTATTAGTTTCGAGTGTTTTGATACTAACATCCTTTTGATAACGTTTGTCATAGCTTGGACCACTTCAGGTGTGTACACTATTTTCCCAGAAATATGCAAAATACTTACATGAAAAGTGCAAAATAACGCACGTCTATAAATATAACACGACATTATTACATTTTATTCAGGATTTTCTATATGTTGATACATACGTCTAAGATTATGTAGTTACAAAGTTACTAAGAAAACCATACCCTCTAGATTTGCATGTCAATGATTAAAAGGAATATGATTTAATCTAAGAAGTCCTTTGTAAATATAATATCATTTGACAGTATTAATTTGCCGCGAGAAGCTATTCCTTTGAGGTATTTCCAACCAATGACACTAACTCCGTCTAAATATCATAAACCGCCAGGCTTAGTTTAATCGTCGAACGCTACAGTAAGAAGCGAAACCCTTAGAAGACATTGAGGCGATAGAATTCTTAATGACACGTTTGATTCGTAAATAAAATTTTCAGATGACATTAATGATCTTAGTCAATGACATTAGGTTGCTACCTGCTGTGCTTTTGGGAAAGGTATTTGCACCTTTATTGGGATATATTGTTGCTGGGCTTTGAAGGGGCAGTTATATTTCGCCCACACTGGACATATGGGCTAGAGAATCATTGTTTTGTTCAAACCAATTTTAATAGTTGATCACGTTAAGATGGATTATTTCGTTAAGTAAACACTTGGCATCAAAATGAGATTTGCATTATTTGAGTGCTTGCGTAATTATCGAAAACAAAAAATATAAAAGTGCAAAACGGAAAAGTTTCCGTTTATCTTAGGGGGTATTCATATACTTAATAACATCATTTACGAATTCTATTTCAATTCAGTTCGTCACACCTGGCGGCTCGATAAAGTCGGATATAGTTTATAAGGCTTTCACTGACGTTTATGTGAGACCATTGTTACACCGTCTCGTGTCTCGATGAAGCTATATCAAAATGCACTAGTGTAACCAGTTACTGAGAAATGCAGCCAAATATTTATGTTTACATCTGACAAAAGTCTTCTAAAAGTCAAATTTGTGTCTGTCTCACCCTTACCTGTCCACGCACCATTATCATCATCATCATCATCATCATCATCATCTGAACACAATCACCTTTTAATTTCTTTACCAAACTACATCACTATTCTCTGTTTTGTGAGTAATTCCTGACATAAGATATCAACAATCAGCTCAGATTGTATTTAAACTAGTTCATGAATATATGTTTTAACTTACATTAATGAAATATGGTGCAATCTGTTTTGGTCAGGCGCAACTTGTTTAGTCAGGTGCAACTTATTTATATCAACACGGTGCATATGAAAGCAAATCCCTTAAATGGAGCGTTCGAAAAATATTGTTATCGAGTAGATTCCATACATAATTTCTTTGTGTTGACCCTTGTAAACTGCTCTGATATATATCGAACAATCCACCATAAGGTGCATTTCGATCGTGTATCGATCCACAACGACAGTCTACAGATATTTAGTGCCAGGGAGGAGGGGTTCTGAGCTGATGACGAGTACACCATCCTGACTATGACAGCATCACCCGAACCCTCTTTGTTGCATTTTTTCATCTGTAAATAATAATAGTGAATATAATGACATCAATACCAATGATGTAAAATAGATCATTGTTTACATACATTGTTTACATACATTGTTTACATACATTGTTTACATACATTGTTTACATACATTGTTTACTCATCCAAAGATAAAGAACATTTGAATTTTTCATATGACTATGATTGATCTGTCATAGCTATTGGGTATGACAACACACAGTCTTCCATAGAGGGTGTTCTTTCACTTCTAACATAATATAAGTAAAAAGTGAACGCTCGCTTTCAGCATATCATTACCGATCGTTGTATTTCACCCAGGTTGGTCGAGGGGATCGCTGGTGAAACATGTCTGACCGTTGGACATTCAAAATTATGTTCCTTCTAGCAATAGCTATGACTGCATTTAGTCAGTGATTGAAACACAACTATACATTAGCTTATAATAATACATTTTCCAAATGTGTGCAACGTTTGTTAAACTAGTTATGTCTGAAACATTGTCTACCACGTTTCCCTAAGCGTATATTAGAAGTGATATATTCCTTTTTGATTAGCAAAATGTCGTGGGTTTTTGGCAGACTTCTTGTCGAACGGAAACTATACTTGGAAAAAAAATATCATTGTCATTATTGGGTGTATTACTAATGGGGGTTCGTGTTCGTTTAGTTAGAGTGGATTTGAATGAATAATTTCAAAGAGTATCGAATATCGGCGCTTGGTAATCAAATACGTATCACATATTATTAATTCTTTTTATCATACTACATAAGCTTGGATAATGGACAATGCCAGTCAAAGTATTGGAATATGTAATGGAAGGAAACTAGTTTAATTAATATTGGTCAGGAACGGTGGAGCATTAATGTAGTCAGCCGAGATGATATTTACCATTTTAGGACGCCAATTTTTCAAATGGATTCGTATCGACAAATGACCGGAATCTGGGCTAGCCGCTGTGAACAAACTGTGACCGGATATACGCTTCATGTACACTTTTAGTCTTTTATGTACTAGTAGGGGGGTTGTCGAGAGGAGGGTCTTAAAAGACATATTAATAAATCGGATGACAAAATATAATTATGAAAAATACCTTGATATATCTTTTGTTTGATATGAAACGATACGTTTGGTCTTTTGCCGCCGAACACCGTATGTATAATAACGCATACCCAATATTTGTTCAAACACCCACGGGTGTGATATTCTAATAACTGCTTTCTTGGGTGGGGATTTGGGAGGGGGTGTGCAGCACAAAGGGCTACAGATTGTCATGATATAGGACCCAGGTACCTGAATCTTCAGTCACGCTTGACAGGGATCCTCACAAACATGGCCGCTTGATCATATTGCCCAGCTCAGTCCGTGATCAATAAACCGGCGAAAGTATTACACATCTCTTCACGTCTGACCCGAATGCAATTACTCTTCAGATTAACTAAATAAAATCATATCCAGTGAATAACCGATCGCAGAAGCCACAATGGCGGGAAAAATCTTCACGAGCAGACGATAGAAGTGTCGTCTGCTAAAAGGCGATTTCAATAAACATTGCAGACGATCAAGGATTTGGAACCGATGTCTTTAACAGGCTTGAATAAGTGTAGAAGGGTGCTTACTGGGGCGGAATGGATTGTGTGAAACACTTTTTTAGCCTTGACAGTTACACATTTCACACTATGCTGTTACGGTGCTACTACAGCCTGCTAAGTGCTGATAGATTCACCGAATCATACTCAATTCATTTAACTCAATGAAATGATGATTTACTCTGAAGTTGGAATAACTCAATTTGTTTTAGCATTTATACCAAAGAAGTGTTACTTGTTTAACATATAAGAGTCTGTTTATAATTATATTTTCAAGTTATAATTCGTTTTTGGAAAATAGAATCCACTTTTTTTAATTCAAGTTTTGTATATTCATAAAAAGTTCAAATCCAGTGCAACCCAAGCACACCCTGACATGATATATCTCCATATGTATTTACAGTTCTATTAAGTTTGCACTCTAATTCTTTACCCACCTCTTTAAACGCACACCTATCTTCTTAAGGACGTTCCTCAAACGATGTTTTCAATTCCGTATACATTTGCTTATCGTCTAGGTATTAGGTATGAAAAATAAATGGAACTCGTAAAACGCCGATACTGGGGTCATGTCGCTTTATGGTTCGTTTTATCAATACAATTTGAAAATTATATCAACTCAGGCGAGTTTGTGTAAAAAGTGTGTCACGGTAAAAAAAAACTTAAAACGAAACAGGAGCGAAATGGCTGACTTAACACTGTTCTTCTTCTGTCATAAAGGCATAGAGCCCAGTTGATATTTAATTCAATCAAGTTCAAACTGCATGCCAAATTTCATGAATATTGTTCACCTAAGCAGAAAATATGGAACTTGAGTCGAACTGATTGTGACACGTCCCGTGCTTGGAACTGCCAGACTATCAGTTTTACAACTTGGTGATAAATATTAAAAGAATAGAAAATGATTTAGCTTGGGAAGTCTTTTTTGGAACATTAAGATGCTATGTTGAAAAGGCTTTAAGAAACACGAACAAACAAGGTAGTGTTTAACATCACCTGTGCTAATTTCACAGTAATTAAGTCCCACGATTCCAGAGATTCGCCAGTAGAAACGAAGGCAGTTATTGTTCTGAAATTGCCAGCCATTTGTATCCTTCATACAATTCCTCTGACTAATGTCCCGTGCAAACGTGCAGCCTATTCTTACCGAATAATTATCAGGAATGATCGCCTTTCACATATGCAGTTTTACTATCACATTAGTCCGCTTTTTAATGGCTATCACTAACGCCCATTGAGCAATATAAGCATTTCTTGACCAATGTATTGCAGTCTGAACAGGCCCTCAAAGCATGGTATCTAATTTTCATTGTCCTCAAACATACACCAAATATTTCAGAAATATAGTATAATTTATGAAAAAATGACGAAGATATATTTTATTCTCGACAAATACTATGTATAATATATGATATTTGAAGACATTTAGTTTTTTACATCCCTTTCACTGTCAAGTGACAAACCCTGTTTAAATGTATTTTTAGAATATATATGAACTTACTAAACACGTATTTTAAATCTATGTTGCTAAAATATTTATATATTAAACATAAGTATTTCTTGATAATGAGAATGATATATGTTTGAATAAGTAATAAAAAAGTGAACAGTGTCGATTTGTATTTAAACGACACAATAAGATACCATTTGATGTTTCGTTTTACAAAGTTGACACTTAACGCTGTTGAGAGTTTGCACTTCATCTTTTCCATTCTTAGCTGTGTATTAAGTGTTGAAACTGACGCGAGTAGACGCTGAGAAACTACACTTACATCTTGCTATACACATCCACGAAGCGACACGCTTCATTGTAAGTATACCACAAGCACGAAGCTTGTACACTGCATAGATTTCACGGCCAGTGATCGCCATGCAAAGCCCTACTCCAAGCTATTCACCGGCAACTGTTGTCGATAGTCAGATAAACTTCTATATTATGTGGGCTGCATTATTTCAAAGAAAAACTGGATAATGCCATCCTCTGCGATGCGTGCATTAATTCCACACGTGTCGATAACTGGGTTAAGGGGTTTCGGCGCGGGCAATTAAACAACAAGATTATATTGATGCGTATGAAACTTAGCATTGTCGATCGTTGAGGCAGGTATTTGGCTTCAGTGATACAGTTTGTGAAAACAATTATATATTTAGGTACATGGTTGCCTTCTGATGCATAGTTACTGTTACTATACATGTTGTCATAAAGCAACGTAGTGGTAAACAGAGATAAGAGTTGCAAAAGTGTGACTGCAACCACGGTGGTATTTGAGGGATGACGATGATGATGATGATGATGTCGATGATGATGACAATGATGATGATGATAATGACGACGACGACGACGATGACAATGATGATGATGATGATGAAGAAGAAGAAGATGGTGATGATGATAATGATGATGACGACGACGACGATGATGATGATGTTGATGATGATGATGATGATGATGATGATGATGAGGGGTGACGAAGAAGAGAAGGAGGACAATAATTATGATAGTGATCATCGTTGACGGTCAAGTCGACAATAATAGCATCACAACATAAGTATTGTAGCAATAGCCTTAATAGTACTGAACGGAGTAGTAGTCGTAGCAGTAACAGCAGCAGTATAGTAGTACAGGAGCGGATGGGGGATTTTGGTTAAGGTGGGGTGCAATTAAATCTTGAAGTCCAAAGGTTAGGGGAGGAAATGCTCCTCACGGAGATTTATTTCGGACGAGAAGGGGTTTGCGCACCCTGCACCCCTCTCTGGATCCGCCCCTGTAGTAGTACTGGTTGTAGTAGTAGTAGAAGCAACAGTAGCAGCAGCAGTCGTAGTATTAGCAGTTGTGGTAGTAGTAGCTGCAACGAGTATAGTAATATCAGCCATCAAATCTGTGTAATTATCAGTAGCAATATTAGTATTAGTGGTAGTAGTAGTAGTAGTAGCAGCAGCAGCAGTAGTAGTAGTAGTAGCAGCAGCAGCAGCAGCAGTAGTAGTAGTAGTAGTAGTAGCAGCAGCAGAAGCAGTGGCAGCAGCAGCAGTAGTAGCAGTAGCGCAGCAGTAGTAGTAGTAGTAGCAGCAGCAGCAGCAGCGGCAGTAGTAGTAGTAGCAGTGGTGTGTAGTAGCAGCGGTAGTAGTAGTAGTGGCAGCAGTGGTAGTAGTAGTGGCAGCAGCGGTAGTAGTAGTAGTGGTAGTGGCAGTAGGTGGCAGTGAAGTGGTGGTAGCAGTAGCGGTGGCAGTAGCAGCAGCAGCGGCAGCAGCGGTGGCGGTAGCAGTAGCAGCGGTAGTGGTGGTAGTAGCGAGCAGTGGTAGCAGTAGTGGCAGCGTAGTAGTGGCAGTAGCAGCAGCAGCGGTAGCAGCAGCAGGCGCAGCAGTGGTGCAGTAGCGGTGAGTAGCAGTGGCAGTAGTAGCAGCAGGTAGCAGCAGTAGTGGCGGTAGCAGTAGCAGTGGTAGCAGTGGTAGTGGCAGCGGCAGCAGTAGCAGTGGCAACAGCAATTAGTAGCAGCAGCAGTGGCGGTAGCAGTGGTAGTGGCAGGTGGTAGCAGTAGCAGTAGCAGCGGTAGCGGTGGTGGTAGTGGCAGTGGTAGGTAGCAGCGGCGGCGGTGGTGGTGGCGGTGGTGGCAGCAGTGGTGGTAGTGGTAGTAGTGGCAGCAGTATGGCAGGCAGCGGTAGTGGTAGTGGTGGTGGCGGCGGTGGTGGTGGCGGTGGTGGTGGTGAAGGCGGTAGGTAGTGGTGGTGGCAGCGGTGGTGGTGGTGGTAGCGGTGGCGGCGGTGGTGGTGGTGGCGGTGGTGGTGGTGGCGGCAGCAGTGGCAGTGATAGCAGCGGTGGTGGCAGTGGTGGTGGTGGCAGCGGCGGCGGTGGTGGTGGTAGCGGCGGTGGTGGTGGTGGTGAGCGGCGATTGGTGAGTAGCGGTGACGGTGGTGGCGGCAGTGGTGGTGGTGGTAGTAGTGGTGGCATAGTGGTAGTGGCAGCAGCAGTGATGAGTGGTGTTGAGTAGTGGTATGCAGCAGCAGCGGCAGTACAGTAGTGTTAGTGGCAAAGGTATTGGTGTAGCAAGTGGCGGTGGTGGTAGTGGCAGTGTGGCGGTAGTGGTGATGGCAGGTGGCAGCGGTGGCAGCGGCGGTAGTGGTAGTGGTGGTGGTGGCGTTGGTGGTGGCGGTGGTAGCGGTAGTGGTAGTAGCAGCAGTAGTGGCAGTAGTAGCAGCGGTAAGCAGCGGCAGTAGTAGTGGTAGCAGCAGCAGCAGTAGTAGTAGTAGTAGTGGTAGTAGTAGTGCAGGTTAGGCGGTAGCAGTAGCAGCAGTAAGTAGTGGTAGTGGCAGCAGCAGCAGTAGCAGTGGTGCAGCAGCAGCAGCAGCAGTATTAGCAGCAGCAGCAGTAGTTGCGGTGGTGATTGATTGCAGCAGCAGCAGCAGCAGCAGTAGCAGTAGTAGCAGCAGCAGCAGCAGCAGCATTATGCTGCTGCAGCAGTGGTGCAGTAGTAGTAGTAGTGGTCGTGGTGGCGGTGGTGAGGGAGGTCGTAGTAATACACAGGTTGTAGTATATGCTGGGAGTGTTGGTGGTAGGATATGTTGTATATATAGCTGTATATGTCAGTCATTTATTTCCTGATCAAGACCCCCTTCCGCTGTTGCCTACACTCGACGATCACGTCGGTTGCATCTTGAGGCGTGGCAGTCTTATGACCCTTCAAGATTCCGTGATTCGTTTGTTTATCATTCCCCACTTCACACGTGTAAACAGTGACCGCACGACATCAGCGCCGCCTAGCGTGTCTAGCAGGCTGAACACGACGACTCAGACAATCCACCGACAAAATATTATTGTTATGGTAAAGGAGGACTGATTTGTTGTGCCCGGCGCTCGCTCAGCCAGTCTCGGCATTTCTCGCGACTCGTGGCCTATCATCGGCCAAGTTCGCCAATTAGCGTCAGTAGCCCTCCCCTCGCTGTCCGTCTTGTAGGAACAACATGTCTTACGATGAGAAAACGCGTAATAGGAGAGTCTCTCCTCTCCCACGCCAGCGCAATGTCAACTTGATGCACGAATGACGTTCTCCAAATAGCCTTCCCCCTGACGCCGCGGGGTGGAATTGTCTCTTCAATGAAGGCAGCTCAATGGGGAATTTTCAACCCGTCGCCTATAGAACACCCCGTTCCTAATTACTACTTAGTCGACCCAAACCCTATTCTAAACCCTTCCCATTACATCATAGCGAATTACCCCAACAAAAGCAAATGCTTATATCCCATAATCGCTGTTATGGAATTACAGTAATCAATGTCCATCTCAGGTCTAATGAACTGGCCATTCTTAACTGATAATAGTTGTACGGATGATCGTATTTAACCTACTTCCTGTCAATTGACAGGTCATCATTATTGCGGATGGATTGTTTTCAACTGATGGGCTCGGACGTATTTAAGTCCAATAGATAACTACTTATGGCGAGACCCTTATTATAAGATGAATTCAAATAAGTTCAAATTTGTTGTCTATCTTATTTTCCAGTCCGGTAAGTTATGACATGTTGGGACGAACTCTACCGGACATGACAGCTTCGTTGGGGGTCCGAATTATTGCGAGACCTCAGTAGCTATTTTCACGCCTTGTCGGTGGCATTTTCTGATTATTACCCAACACGCCTTATCAGAATAAAGTAATTAATATTCCACTTGTCTGTGATCACGTAAGAAAGTGTAGCTGTCCGATGTGTCAATTACGTCATTGGTGAATCTATTACGTCAACAAACACTTCTTGAATCAATTAGAGGCGATAAGCCCAAACCCTCCATACTTTTATGCTTGAAATAACGAATTTATTTTCAGTCATAGAACTTATGTCAAAATATTGTGAAATCCATCCAAAATTTCCTTGATTTCGATTTTAAGTTTCCTTTTTCGATTTCAAAAACAACGTAAACTTTCATATTAAAATGTCATGATCAATATGAATCGACCATGTTGTTCTCTGTAAACGCTCGCTGTTGGTTCCTAATGACATTGTCAAACGTAAGTGATTACAAAAATAAGAAAGTAGAGCATTGAAAACCGCCCTGAATGTATTAATGACGTCATTGTGACGTCATGAAGTATCAAGGATCTACGTCATTCCGCATTGATAATATATACTTCTAAAGTTTACAGGTATCCATAACGATATTCATCAGTTCTATTTTGTCAGTCAGTTCTTGATAGTTTGAAATATTTAACGTTTCAAATACATTTGTCTAAAAACAGAAGTAGAATAATGCCAATTCAGAAAGATTTTTTTATGATATATTTATCATAACATTACACTGAATCATTTCACATAAAATTATGAATTTGATCAAGTTTTATCTCCCCTTAATAAGGTGCCGGAACAAAACGTCGAGTATTAACACCGAATGTCTGTTCTCGTTCAATGATGTTGTGAGAGATGAATATTTTTCCAACAAGAGAAAGTTCGATATATTTATTAGGTAATTTCATACTTATACCCTCAAACCTTCGATTCTCACAACGCATGTTGACTTTCAAACACTTAAAAAATTTAACAGATAATTCCATTTAAATTTAAATGAAGTCATAGTGAGATGGGAGATTGAGGAAAGCTAGACTTGCTTCATTTAGGGCTTTAGCATTGCAGGAAGGGCTAGGCAGTAGCGAAAATAATGTGGTTCAGGGACTGTGAGACAGTACAGTAAGAATCTTGCAAGAGTTACATTTGTTTGTTAGACAGATGGAGCCTGTTGTCTTTGCCAGTCAACAACGTGATTGTATTGAGCTTGCCGAAACCGCTAAACTTCGGGCTTAACTTAAATATTTTGCTTAAAGAGTAATAATCCGGCTACAACTAAGCCGTTCTGTCGCCCTGTTCACACCTCTCGCCGCCGTCCGTAAGTCGGGCAAGGTTTTGCCGGAAATAGGTGCCAAAGATTTGGTTACCTCCAAAACATGTCACGGTTCAAGGGTCAGATGTCGGGAGGCACTGACCCTATGGTGTTCTCTGACATGTGTGGGAGAATATTATAATTCAAGCGTTAAGAAGGATGTACGATCGGGACTGCCATTATTGCTACAGCGACATTGGGATTTGGTGACATTGCGCAACAAATCCAGAGTGTCAAATTATTATGAGAAGATGAAAACAGACATTCCACTCTATTTAATCATTTGTGAAGAGAAGTATTAACACGGAACCTGTTTGATGTGGGGAATATCTTAAGGTCAAGGTTGCGCGTGTGTTGAAATTAAAAAGCAGGATTTATCAGAAACGAACGTTAAATATGTACCCTCTGAAGCGTAAAGGTAAATATGATAACATCTTCCTTAAAAAATTACCCGTCACTGTGACTCAACATTACAATGATTGAAACTTTTAAGAAAAAACTGTGATTTGAAAGGCATTCATCGCCCACAGAATAAAGACGTTACGCTGTGAATATTTCAGACTACAGCGGTCCAAATACCGTATCCCCTCGCCCTACTTCAATAGTCCGTTAGCGCCCCAACTTTTGATAGTTTAATAGAATATATGATATTTATACATAATATGCTAATTACGTAAGCCTCTGATGTCAAAATTTAATTACACGTGATTTTTTTAAGCGCTGCCCATCACCATGTGTTGTATTGTGTAAAACGGGGACAGAAATTACTATGCGAAACGGTCGCAGGATATGCCCCAAAGCACATGGATTTACATGTATCTGCCCAGTTATTTGTACATACACGGCACGAAATAGAAAAATTACATATCACTTGCCAGGGCCCGTGTACTATAAAGCACATTTTCAGATCTGGATAATTGCTCCGTAACGGAACATGACTGTATACTAATTCATGTTACGGACAGGGTGTTGTAAGTCGTGGCCCTAACTATGGTTAACATTGGTTGTGTGATATTGATAATGGATACAGTGAGCCCAGGTTTCTTTGTTGTGGGTATGAATGGACATATGACACTGTTTGGGATGCTACAGGAACTCTGCCAGTAGTGAGCTTGTTGAATGTTCTATATTTACACGCGGAAGGTAATAGCCGGGAATCCGGGAGAGTTATATTGAAAACCTCGGGACCGTGAAATATTTTGATCGATATTGTTGAAAAATAGACATAGTACTGTTAGTAGTTAAAAAAACAACTATGGCTGCAGTACATTGAGGTAGGCTTGGAAGTGAGTGAGTATAGTTTTACGTCGCTCTTAGAAATATTCCAGCAGTATCACGCCAGACGCCAGAAATGGTCTTCGTGCAATGAACCCATCAGGGATTCGAACACGAGTCTTTTACGTGACGAGCTAATGCATTTAACCGCTGCGCTACACCACACCCGAGTAGTTGTAGAAGCAGACGTTGACGCGTATGTTACATAACGGCGGTCTATAAAAAAGCACGTTTCGACCAGACAATCCAGTGACTGACATCATGAGCATAGATCTACGCATTCGGGACACGATGACACGCGTCATTCCTGATGGACGTGTTGGATTATTCCTTTGAAACCGTGTGTGGTATACATTTCGTAGTGCAGGTACAAGCTATGCGTCAATCTTGTCAGTACCAACTGTTTTCATAGAGACGGTGTTTGTAGGTGGACAGAGGTAATGGTACTAGTAGCGACAGGACAGAATCATCTGGAGTAGTAGTAGTAGTTGTTGTTGTGGGTGTAGTTGTAGTAGTAGTAGTTGTTGTTGTTATAGTGTGATAGCAGTAGTGATAGTAGCGGCAGTTGTAGTAGTACTGACTGTCTGAGTTTGGTTTTACGCCACTTTTAGCACTATTCCAGCAACATCACGGTGGGGGACACCAGAAATGGGCTTCACACATTGTATCCATGTGGGGATACGAACCGGGGTCTTTAACCACCGCTTTAACCACTACGGTACCCCACCGCCCCAGTTGTAGTAGTAGAAGCCGCAGCAGCAGTAGAAGTAGTTGTTGTTGTTGTGGTAGTAGTTCTAGTAATAATAGTAGCAGTTGTTTGGTAGTAGTAGTAGTTGCTATAATAGTAGTGGAGGTGAGTAGTAGCAGTTGTTTGGTAGTAGTAGTAGTAGTAGTGGACCGCCTCCGTAGTAGTTTTCCGTAATAATAGAATATGTGGTAGTATAATTAAAGTGGTAGTTGACGCAGCAGCAGCAGCAGAATACACATATACACCACGCAGTAGTAGTAGTAGTAGTAGTAGTAGTAGTAGTAGTAGTAGTAGTAGTAGTAGTAGTAGTAGTAGTAGTAAAAATTGTGAATCATCAAACCAGAACTGGACTGATTCCCGCTGGGCGTTCAAATCACCAAAGCACATAAATATGCGTTGTTCTCCTATAATCGATCGCATCTATTGCAATGAATGCTCGAGAACGCTCCACTGAGGATTTACACAAGCACTACACATAACTCAAGGCAGACATAGATCACGCTGATAAAGGTCCCATTTGAGACCCAACAGGTGTCCAGATACTCGTCCAGTTTCCGTTCTACTTCGGGATGTTATGCGAGGCGTCTTAACAAATACATTATGTGTATATACGCATCGAAAAAATAAAGGAACATGCGGAAATGTAACTGCTGAGTCACGCGACACGGTTACATCAGGTGTTAAAATATTCCGTGTTGTTATATAATCTGCCTTGTTCAGAAGTCATAGAATATTGCTTCCACACATTCCGGTCGCTTTTAAAGTGAGATGTTAAAATAATCCGTGTTGTTATATTTCCTGATTTGTTCAGAAATCATAGAATATTGCTTCCACACATTCCGGTCTCTTTTAAAGTGAGATGTTAAAATATGCCGTGTTGTTATATAATCTGCCTTGTTCAGAAGTCATAGAATATTGCTTCCACACATTCCGGTCTCTTTTAAAGTGAGATATTAAAATATGCCGTGTTGTTATATAACCTGACTTGTTCAGAAGTCATAGAATATTGCTTCTACACATTCCGGTGGCTTTTAAAGTGAGATGTTAAAATATTCCGTGTTGTTATATAACCTGACTTGTTCAGAAGTCATAGAAGATTGCTCCACACATTCCGGATGTTTTTAAAGGAGTGGGTACGTATTCTCATAAATACACAATATGACAAAGAAAGTGGTCAAATATAACATGTGATATTTGGGATTACACTTTCTCAGTAATGTAAATAGTCTTGTACTTGTGTTAGGTTGAGTCCTATCCGGGATTCGAACCCACACCCTCAGTGAAATGCACCTAACCTACTAACTATTCTCAGACACACTTAAGTATTTGATTTCTTTGTTGTTGTATGTTCTAACTGTTTAAATACAATTTTAGATTAGGTTGACAGTGTCATATAAAGACACAGTCTATAATATTGTATGAATAAAAGGAAACTATATATTCATTGACACTCTCGGTCGAGACATTCACTTACATGGATATGCATTTGGTATTAGATTATTCTTTACATATGTTTAGATAGGTTTACATAGACCTTGATATTTATGTTAGCATATCTTTCAACACAAATATACCCCACCTTGTGCTCTTCTCAAGGCCTTTAGGAGAGAGGCGGGCGAACTGGCTAAAACGCCAGGCTAGTGATTCAGCGAGCAGTTGAGGTACCGGGATCGAGCCCACCTGTGACCGGGTGTAAAAACCTTGGAGTCAACTTTGTGTGCAGACTCTTTCAGTGTTGTCACAACCCCTAGTGTACAGTACACAAGCCTGTGCACTTAAAACAACCCACGAATCCGTTGGTAGATGACCAGATGGTGGCCACATGAATACATGCAAACACCTAGTTGCGGGTACAGCAACATGCAGTGAACTTGGACAAAGTACTGTGACTATGTGTCCCAGTCGGGTTATGGTGAAAACGGATCCCAGTGAAAACGGCCCAAAATTAAATCGAGAAAACGGCCACCGCTGCTGGAGAAAACGGCCTCTGGACGTAGAGAAAACGGCCATTATAAATAACGGAAAACTACACGCATTTTATTTTGCTTTTACTCTAAATCATAATAAGAAGGCAACAACAATGATAACATAGTCATTGCAAAGTTTTAGGTTGTACATCTACAAGTTGTATTGATGCTGTACATCTAACATGTCAATAGAATGACTGTTTGCCGTAGAATGCTCCTCAAACCACTCTCCATTTGTTTGTCTCTGAACAATGCAATATATTTTATAATGCTAAATCTTTTACATAGTTTCTTTTTATTCATAATAATAATGGTGATACATGTACTTCTTTCTAAAAGTGATATAAGTGGGTGCCGGCTGGCTGATCAGGGTCACCCATGGTCACTCACTCACTCACTCACTCACTGATCAGGGTCAAGCGTGTCTGTCATCACCCCTTCTATTATTTAGGATATATATAATCAAATTCTCTCCTTTGATCTTGGTGCAACTATGTTAGTCATTTTCTCTGAAGCACAGAGGCCATTTTCGCAAGGTTCGGGGGCCGTTCTCTCCAGCGCGGTGGCCGTTTTCTCGATTTTTTAGGGTCCGTTTTCGCTGGGGTGCGTTTTCTCCGTATCCCGTCCCAGTCCACCCAGCTGTGAATGGGTACCTCGTAAGGATGGGAAAGCCACACTAACTCGGTACGCCTAGTGGCTGCAAGAGTTGTATGATCCCCCAGGGAGTTGAGATTGATAATACGATGTGCCGTTGAGATTGACATCCGTGATAGAGGGAAAAACAAAGCGCCTTTGAGCAGCTGAGCTGGATATCGGCGCTGTACAAATGTTAATATGTATGTATGTATTTTTGGTGTGCCTCTGTGTGAATATCAATCCAGGAGGTTTAACTTAAGTTTCAGGCATACTGACAATCTGATATTATTCAACAATGTTCAAACAGCCAATTCCATTTCACTAATTTAGACACCAAAGTTGGAAATAAAGATGCAAAGAAAGCCGTCTCATTTGTTTCATATGAAAATCTATGTATAAAGATTCTGAATGATAACAAAATACCCACAAGACTGTATGGTAAGAGGGATGACCTCAACTTTCCTATAGTCAAAGGTCCTTTCACGCCTTCGTCTATTCCAGCATCTCCAGCTTTTGTGCTTACATTGCACAACCTATGAGGTACAAGCTAACAAGGGCTTTCTACGAAAATTTCAGACGATCCTTGCTTAAAATGGTGTTCGATCAGCTACCCACTTTCAAGGCTTCACTAAAGCCTTCATGGCTGACACATGGAAGACATTTTCAAATTTGACGCATCAGTGACCAAAATGATTTCCGATGGAATTCTCAATTTTCACTTGTACCCAAATATGTCTATGCTTGTTCAGATGACCACGTGTCTTTGTATGCGTTTGTGACGGCAATGGTGGGGCTGGATATCTTATGGTTTTCTCGGATTCTTTGTAAGAAAACTATTTGATTCCAAATCACAGTCTTATGATATGGTCGGTATTATGCAACACTTTGGTCTGTAGAATCTCTGGTGATTATGGTTATGTGTCGCTTGTATTAATATAGTTTAGTTTCTCTTGAACACGTTGTGTTAATGCCAGAAACAGATGGTATCGTGTAAAAATAACACCATGCATAAACTCCCTCAAACCATTCCTTCTCGGGAGACTATACATGTAAAGTAAGATTGTCTCGGTGATATTATATGTCAGTTGAATTTTACAGACCGAACCAGGTGTCAATTACAATCTCTATGTACCAACGATGTGTCACATGGTAAAAAGCCATGAAAACATATAAAATATCCCAAAGCCGTACAACGTAGGGATACTTTCAGCATGGAAGCTTAAATGACACGGG